AAACCATGTGTCTATCTCGTTTCCTTTTGCCTGTTACAAACATATGCACAAAGACATAATACCCTGTACCACAGTGTGGTGAAGGGTATAAAAAAAAACGTAACGCGGCACTTAACTTGGTAATCGTTGGAATTCCAGACTTGTTTTTCCTTGTAGGAGTATGTGGCGCCAAAACCTCCAACAAGTATTGGAATGCTGACTTGTTTACCCGGTAGTATTTTTTGAATCTATTGCGACACTACATATCAGATGTTTCAATTATTTTTAACTTTTATGCATTTACAATGATTGTGGCAGTTTAAGAGGATTGGAACTATATCGCAATTGTCTTCTCGAAGTAGCAACATCCTCTAAATATGCTCTAAGTATAATACCATTCATTTTTTTGGTTTCAATTCTTTATTTCCTTTTAATTATTTCGTACAACACTTTAAATTTGCGCAAACAAATAAGGGTGCACAATGTATGAAAAAGACCCCACAGTTGATTAAAAATAGATGCCATATTCCAAAAATTTTACTCCTATATTTTCTACGATTGAAATAGAATTTCTACCACAATTTGGTGATTGGACTGTATATGTGACATTTGTATTTAGCAAATATATAAAATTGATTGAAAACAACAATCATGAATTAAAAGTAAATAGATATGGGTTCATACTATAGCCAGGAGAAAGAATATTATTTTTTCTATTTAGATCTATATGAAATTCAAGCAGGTTTGTTACAATTTTGGTGTAAAACAAAAAGTTTGAAAAAATTAACTCGGATGACATGAATTAAGAATTGTGTTGCATGAACGGGTTAATTCATGTACAGTATGTCAAGAATGAGTTTACACATTGAATAAGTACACAATTTTCTCAACTTTATTAGAAATTAACATAAAATATTTTTTATTAAAGTTATTTTTTAATTTTTATTATAATTGTATACATATGTACAGAGATAAAATGCAAAAGAAAAACAGCAAGTTCTGTTTAAAAACATTAAAGAAATATTCAATTTTAACATTGTCAATTAACTCTTTTCACTAGAAGTAAATGTTAAGGTATATAGTATAATAATAGAGTAACTTCTGGTAATGTGGGCCATGCGTCAAATGTGGACCACCCCCCATATCTAAGAAAATGCTTGAAATATGCCAATTCCGCCTTGATAAATGTTTTCCTAATTAGTGAAAACAAATATCAAACTTGGTTTTTAATAAATAATTGCAATGTTGAAAATTTAGTAGACGAAAATGTAGCTCTGATTGTAAAAGTGTGATTTGAAAATTTTTTAGCGCAATAGTCGAACGATTTTGTAAAATAGTCGAACATTTTGTTTTTCTCGAATATAAAGATGTTATGTGGTTTTCTTGTTTTCTTTAACAAAAATACACATTTATCTGTAATTACAATCGGTTATTTGTAAATTTTTATTCATTTTTGAAGCCAATAATTATTTTTTTAAATAAAAATATTCAATGTCGGGTAATGTGGACCACTATAAAAAAGTGGGACATTTTCATGAGGACGAGTTCGAAACAAGGGCGCATTTAATATGCGAGGAGGTATTCTATCCTCTGAAAACTCGATATCCGAAATTATAGGTGCCTCGGTTGGATAATGAAGCAAGGACCTTCAAAATACCGCAAATGGGGTGGTACCCTTAAATGGGGGCTATTCCAAAACATGGACCCATATATTTTTGCATTCATTGTTACCCAAGAGTGCAATAAATTGAAATTTATCACAATTAATCCACAACCTACCTTCAACTTACTGATCCTCATTACACACACATACTGGTCCACATTACCCGCCAAGTTATTTTTATTTGCAGTTCAGAGTTTTTTTGAAATATAATGCAATAACATTTTTATGGACAAATATATATAATTTTTGACCTGGAATATAATTAGCCAACAAATCTACCATCCTGTGAAAACAATTTGTTTTTATTTTTTACCGTTGTTACGCCCACAATATCAAAAAAAGAAAATGGTGTTCCACATTACCCGAAGTTACTCTATTATTATTGAACACACATTTCCATAGTTTTAATATTTTGTATGGCCTCCCTTTGCATATACCACACATTGTAGACGTTTTTTCATCGAGTGGACCAACTTTTGCAAGTCATAATTGTTCGGAATGTTCTGCCACTCATCCAATATCGCAGTTTTTAATGCTTTTATATTTTTTGGTTGCCGTTTAGCCAACTTTTTTTTAAATAGACCCACAAATTTTCTATAGGGTTAAGGTCTGGGCTTTGGGCTGGCGTATCCAAAACTTTGCCACAGTCATAAAGAAGCCAAATGCGCACTATATGTGACTTATGCTTAGGATCATTATCCTGATAAAACTTAAAATGTGGCTTGTTATCCCTGATGAACCCAAAGTTCACAGCACTGGTTACCAAGTGCTTCTTTAAAATATCGAAATATTGTTGTGCGTCCATAGTTGTTTCAATAAAAGCTAAGCCTCCCACGCCTTTGCTGCACACCCAAATCATTATTGACATTTTTCGAAATTTGACTGTTGGAATGATGTTCTGCCTTTCTACTGCTGTTAAAGGCTTACGCCATACTCTGGTTCGCCCATCGTTATAATATAACATAATTTTAGTTTCATCGCAAAATATAACGTTGTCCCAATATTCAGTCGGGTGTGAAACGTTCGTATTGGCGAAGGAAAATGCTTTTTCTATAATTGCTGCAGATAGTAAGTGTTTTTTTGCGTGCTACTCTTGATGGGTATTTGTTTTTTATTATTTTTTGTCGAACTGTTGAACTGTTTCATGACAAACTTTAACACCACACTCTTCTTCGAGCTCCCTCGCAAGCGTCCTAGTGGAAATTTTAGGGTTTTGCATAATTTTTCTAATAATTATGCGCTCAGTACGCTTATTAATTTGGGCTTCTTTACATTTGTTTTTGTCTCGACCATCTGTCCAATTTTTACATGGTTGGCAAAATTGCACATCGAATTCAAGTAGAAATTACGCCCTTTGACAGTTAATCAAGTCATCAGCTGCCCTAAATGGACTGCCTATTTATTGTGCCATGGAAAACGTTAACAAAGTCCAAATTTCTGACATTAGACTTGAGAAAAAACAGCTAGCTGGGAGACCTTATAAATAGATCTTGAACACGTCATTGTCATCGTATGCAAACAAGTGCAACAGGCACATCCATAGATGGTAATATCGTGTATGCAATTCATATCCTTTCATTCGCAATCAATAACTCAAAGCGGCCGGTCGGCTAATAAGAAAGTGCAAAAAAAAATAATAATAATAAATAACGTTTGCCAGTTGCACTATATATATTTTTGCAGATCTATTGAGAAAACTTAATTCTTATTGGAACTCCATTCTATAGCAACAGCAACAGGTATGAACGATGTATACCATACTACATATATACGTAGGATTTTTATTGTGACATTGTTAATGGTTAACATACGGTCTGTTGCAGTACTGCAAGGATCTACTTTTTTTACTACGATAACGAATTTTGCTTTATGATATCGAAGAAAATACAGTAAACTCTAGAAGATTCTTGAAGTACGGGAACATACCAAACACACACACATTACATTGGCATTCATTATTTCAATAGTTTAGTAATACACACACACATATTGGTAAGTTCCCGTACTACAAGAATCTACTACTTTTTACTAACGAATTTTCCTTTATGATATCGAAGAAAATAGTAAAATCTAGTATATTCTTGCAGTACGGGAACAGACCAATTATTAAATAACAATCAAACAATATTCTACAGTAAACTTAGAACCAGAAACAATATGCCGATAACAGAAGCTGACAAAGCCAAAGCAGAGCTGCTTTTCTTTACGGCTCAGGAAGCTATGATGGACGGCGACTTGGAAAAGGCCGAAGAAAACTTAGTGAAAGCAAATGAATTATGTCGAAATGAATATGTCGAAGGTATGTAAAAAAGTTATAAACAATTATTTGATAAATTCGTACGCTTAAAAGTGCTTAGAGAGGGAGGGAGCAGAAGTGTAATGGGAAATGTTGTGAAATTGACACCGAGCGTCTTGGGGCACCACAAATGGAACAAAAAAACAACAACAAATAAATATTGAAAGAAGTCTTGTGAAGAAGTTTTGTGGTTCTGCAGCATCTTGAATTGCTAGATTCATAGGTTGCTATAATGGGAATGTTCTAAGTTATATTTGGAGACTACATATCAAGTTTATCCGCCATGAAAATGTTGATGACGAAATATATGTACCGGGTGGCAACAATATTGCTAGATGTATGTGTGCAAACAAACACACATTAGCAGCGAAACAATTTCTCAAGCACGTTTGTTTATTGGGGGGAACCCCCATCTAAATGTACTAGAACAATTTGATGAGTGTATGGGTATTTGTAAATGCGTCGATACAAAATAACGTCGTGTACAGTTCCATCTTAACATACCCGTTTCTGTACGTTAACAGAAACGAGTACATGCAACAGTTGGATGCATTTGTGTTTCTGTGTTATTCGTTTCAGCAGAGTGAGTATGAGCAGATAAAGAGAGAATGAGAGCCGTATATATGTTTGCCTATAATTTTCTCAGACAGATATGTATTGTGGAAATGTATTGTGGAGTCAATATATCCTGAAGGAAATGTGGGGTGTTGTATCGCCTTTGTCTACTATTGTGGCGACATGTCTCCATATACTTTTGAGCAAAACAAATTATAAAAAATTGACAAGTGACATATGTGACCTTTTGTCTATATCTACAAACTATTGACTTACTACTAACCGTGTCCACATATGTGACGCTGTGTCTATATCTAAAAACTACTGACTTACTACTGCCCATGTCACTAGTTCATTTCCAATGACAAGCACATGTTAAATGTCAATAGTAAAATGCATTGTGTTGGATATAGTCGGTCAACAGTATTGGTGACAATGTCAATAGTAAGTCTATACTGATTTACTGTAGACATTTCCTACAGGGTAATTTTATCTACATATACATCAGTTGTATGTAAACAGCGGCAAACATCGATGTGTATTGTTTTGTATGTACTTAATAATACGCAAATGGAAACAAAACTGCATATGGGTGATTCCAACGGAACGGGATATTTATTTTATAATATCAATTCACAAAGAGGGATTTTAGTAGATATAAAAGTAAAAAAGATATGGCTCGAATATCAACGTAACGGGTGTGAACTTACGTTTTCATTAAATCTTGAACAACAGCTTTGTGTATTACATACTGTAAACTTTGTGTATGGTCCGTTAACAAAATATTTTTTCATGGATTTTGGATAGTAAACTGTTTATTATAAACAATATTCCAAATCATGGTACAATAATACAAGGTAGGGCAGCTTGAGGTGAATAAAAAAAAAAAAAAAACAGCTATGCAAGTGTGGCCTCTTCTGCCAAAAATAAAATAAATATACGCAACAAGTGTTTGTGTTTATTTGACATTTTTTCAACACAAAACTAAAAACGAGAAACATGAATGAAAGGTTATGATTTTTTTCTGCCTTAAATGGTTTACCATATTTCTTATCTATGGCTAGTATTTAGTAGAATATCCTTTGTTTTGTATTACAGCTTTGCACCGTCGCACTATGTCGCGAGTTCATATAAACATCGGCCAAAAATAGAAGGAGTTATCGTAAGTTAATGAAATTTGGTACATGTGTTTATTATTGGCCTAAAGAGCAACTGACAAAGAAATTGGATAGATCGGATCAAGATTTGTTATACCTCCCATATAATGGGTCTAGAGAATGACACCCCTTTTGGCCTATAAAATCTTTAATATTCAACCAAATTCAATGTAAATTGGCAATTTACATCTACTTAGGCCTATAAAACAACTGACCAAAAACTGGAAAAATGGCACCAAGATTTGATATACCTCCAATACAAAGGGTCTTTTATTATTTTGGGCTATATAATCTTTAATAATCAACCAAATTCAATGAAAATAGACATTTTATATTTACTTATGCCTATAAAGCAACGGAGCAAAAACTGGGTAGATATGACCAAGATTTGATATACCTCCCATTTTTTGACCTATAAAATAGTTTTTATAAATACAAATTCCATGAAAATTTTCATGTCTTCGTGAAATTTGGGCGAAGACAGTAATAGGTGTTGCAATTTAGTTGTTGGTTCATGTTACAGGTACCTACCATACCAAAAGTCCCTTAAAAAGTAACTTTCTGTACTATGAAATCGTTATATGCAGCTAAATTAAGTATAGTAGTTTTATTTTTGTTATTTTTATTATAATAAAATATTTGATATACTTTAGTTATTAATAAATTATTTTTTTATCATTCACAAAATTTTCAAAACACACATATATATATATATATATATATAGAAAATATTACCTTCCCAAAAGAACGATTTAGTATCATCCATGTTATAATTTAGGGCCTGAACTTTATGACTGTTTAAGGATATTACAAGGTCGGATTGTAATATAAAATACTAAAAAAACCCTTTTTTGACTCGGATTTAACAAAAGTTCGGGCTGCTACTAATTATTGTGTGGCATGACTTGTTAGCATCTAGTGAAAGTCGCTCAAAAGGCAGTGTACTGTACTTTGCATATCCCATGCCATGAACTAATATTTTTTGTATGAACTGTCGGCAAAGGTAATTCATGTGCGACCTCTAAATTTAGATTATAAGATTATGTCTCAAATAATCTGATAAATAAGTATAATCTTCAAATTGACTAAAAATTTATTTAAAAGCTATATTTTAAAAACAATTCTCCCATATCTCCGCATCGAATAACGTTTTTACCACGTAATTGCAAATTTTATGCAAAATATTGTATGATTACTATATTCTGAATCCATCGTGTCCTTCCTATTTGGCCCTCAATAACGTATTTAATTGTATACAAAACATATTGGACCATTCGCTTGTAACCATTTCATGAATATGCCATAATTTTTTTATAAGGTGGTCACCAAAAAAGTTAAATAACTCTTAGGACCGCAGGTCTCCGCAACCAATTTTTGTTATTCCTTCAATGACACACTTTTCACAACTCAAATAAAAAAAATCAGAGCTAAACTTTTTTAAACTTTTTTCTGCTCCACTAACTTCTAAATTTGTTTTACAAATTTGATGAACTAAGTAGTACGAGTGTGGGCACTGTATATACCATATGATATCTATATACATACAAACTACAGCGAATCCTAGTTTTTAATATCCACAGCAACCACTTTTATAATAACCGTTAATTTGAATATTCAAATATTTGAGCATCCGAAAAACACACCCATTTTTCGAAAATATGGAAAAAGAATCAGTTTATAAATAATTATCAGATTTGAACATTTGTAGAGACAAAACTATTCGACATGTCGATATAACATTTCATATTTATTCCAATTGGAATATTTTCTATCATACCTCATAAAAAAATTGTCCTCCGAGGTACTTGGTTTTGACAATTTTTGGCCGCGGTCGTGACACTGTGTGTCGTGCCATAGAGTTTACTAAATTTTGGCATCTCTCCAAAGGAATATTTTTCCATGACCATTCCACCACGTTCCACAAATCTTGTTGGTCTAGCATTGTATACGGCTTCCTTAAAATCCGTCCTTAAATTTTCAATGGGATTGAGGTCAGGAGATTGGGCAGGCCACTCCATAACATCTATACCATTATTCAAAAACCAGGCCTTGGCAGCCCTGCTGGTATGCTTCGGGTCATTATCGTTTTGGAAACCCCATTTTAAAGGCGTGTTCCACTCAGCATAGGGTTTCATAACGTTCTCAAGGATGTCCACATACATTTGGGCATCCATGTTTCCCTTTATCCAAAATAAAGGAATAGTATGAAAAGCACCCCCAAATATTTATTTTCGCACCTGCATGTTTTACTGTGGTTAAAACATTTCGTGGATTATAATCCGTATTGGGGTTTCGTCTAACCTATTGACGACGACCTTTAGAAACAAAAAGAACCACTTTGGTCTCGTCAGACAATAAAATATTAAGCCACTTAAACAGAGGCCATTCAAGGTGCTCTTTTGCAAATTTTCATCATTTGGGCGTATGTATTTTTTTAAGAAGAGGTACTTTTCTGGGAGATCTAGCATACAAATTGTGATACAGCAAGAGTCTCCTGATTGTACATGTATGATTTTTGTTTTAATTCCGTAGCAGATGATTTGGGCTCATCTCTGACTGTTCATAAGATTCTTTTTTCATCAACTTGAGAGATTTTTCTATTTCGCCCACGCGTTTCTGGTTTGGGAGACCATTTTATGGCGTTAGATATCATTTTCGCAGAACAGCCAATCACATCTTGTATACATTTGTAATTTTTTATTTATTTAGGGGTTAAATTTGATAAAATATATTTATGTAAAAATCCTTGAGAAAATATTCTTTAAAAAATCCACGCCCCGGTGGAGCCCTGAGAAAATATTCTACAACTCTGTGGACTAATGAAAAATTATTCTTTAAAAAATACACGCCCCTGTGGACCCTTGAGAAAATATTCTTTAAAAATGCCACGCCCCTGCGGAGCCTTGAAAAAATATTCTTTAAAAAATCCATGCCCCTGTGGAGCCTTGAAAATATATTCATAAAAAATCCGCGTCCCTGTGGAGCGTTGAAAAAATACTCTTTAAAAATTCACGCCCCTCTGGACCCTTGAGAAAATATTCTTTAAAAACACGCATCAGTTGGAGTTAGAAGTAGTAAAGTAGTAAATTCGGACTGGGCCGACTATATGATATCCTTCACCACTTTGGGCATATTCTACATATGTATCCTAACAGTCGTCGCGTTTTTGTTATATATCTATATCTGAACCGATTTCAGGGAAACTTGCCAGAGACTAATTCATATTACTTCAGCACGTTGTGTCAATCGGCCTAGCTATGGATCTTTTATATAGATATAAATCTGAACCGATTTTCACGAAACTTTGCACACATCATCCTAGACATAATTCAGAACGCTGTGCCAAATTTCGTGCAAATAGAAAGATATATAGGGACTTTGGTACACCATTTACCTTAAATCGGACGAAGATATAGAATATGCATAGAATCACTTTCTGAGTCGATTTATGCATGTCCGTCTGTCTGTTGCTGTTAAATTGTAAAAAATACAGGTCGCATTTATAAGCCGATTTAGATGAAATTTGGTAAATCAAATTTATTCGGCTCAAAGATAAACCCTATTGAAATTGAGAAAAATCGGTTCAAATTTAGATATAGCTCCCATATATATTTTCGTCCGACTTTGGTGCACCGAAGTCCCTATATATTTTTTTTCATTTTTGGGAAATTTGGCATAGCACTGAATTATAACCAGGATATTTTGTGTTCAGTTTCGTGGAAATCGGTACCGATTTAGATATAGCTCCTATATTTTTTTCTGCCGATTTAATGTAAATGGTGCACCACAGTCCCTATATATCTTTCGATTTGCACGTAATTTAGCATAGGGTATTGAATAATGTTTATAATTATGTGTGCTAAGTTTCGAGAAAATCTGTTCAGATGCAGATATAGCTCTCATATATATAATTTCTTCCGTTTTTATGTAAGTTGTGTGCGAAAGACCCAAAGTTTGTCCAATTGACACACAATTTTGTACAACGTACTAAAGTTAATATAAATTAAAAAAAGCATAGGTTGTAGATTTGCATCTGTATGGATTGATGTTAATACGCAATGCAAAATTAGGTCTAAATAAAGAATGAAAAATATATGGGATCTATATATATACATATATAGTGGTCAGTCGACTCAAAAAGCAATTCTGCGTATATACTAAAAAGTAACTATGGGTCCAACTCGTTTCCTTTTGGATGTTGCAATAACATGTACCAAGACATAATGTCCTGTGTCACAGTGTTGGTGAAGGATACAAACAAATTTTTATGTAATAAAATCGTTTAGTGATTGCTCTATCTGCCTATAGTTAGCTGTAAAATTCGAAGATGGAAATATATTTATATTCTAATTTTACATCGTACAATTGACATTTCATTACCAATTTTTTAACTTTCAGGCATCATTGCGATAATACGTAAACGACGTAATAGTGACGTTCCTAATGCTGAACCTCCCGAATATACCAACGAGCAGTTGGAAGCTGCTAATAGAGTGAACAACAGCAACGATTATTATGAAGTTTTAGGCGTTGACAAGACAGCTACGGACGCCGAAATTAAGAATGCCTATAAGAAACTGGCTTTACAATTGCATCCAGATAAAAATCGTGCCCCTGGCTCTCCTGAAGCTTTTCATTTACTGTGCTATGCTGCTAATATCCTAGGAGATCCGGAAAAACGTAAACTATACGATGCACGGAGAAAGCAAGAAGATCTAGAATATCCGGAAAAACGTAAACTATGCGATGCACAGAGAAAGCAAGAAGATCTAGGAGATCCGGAAAAACCTAAAATAAACGATGCACGGAAAAAGCAAGAAGATCCGAAAAAACGTAAACTAAACGATGCACAGAGAAAGCAAGAAGATCTAGGAGATCCGGAAAAACGTAAACTATGCCATGCACAGAAAAAGCAAGAAGATCTAGCAGATCCGGAAAAACTTAAACTATGCGATGCACAGAGAAAGCAAGAAGATCTAGGAGATCCGGAAAAACGTAAACCAAACGATGCACGGAGAAAGCAAGAAGATCTAGGAGATCCGAAAAAACGTAAACTAAACGATGCACGGAGAAAGCAAGAAGATCTAGGAGATCCGGAAAAACGTAAACTATGCCATGCTCAGAGAAAGCAAGAAGATCTAGGAGATCCGGAAAAACGTAAACTATGCGATGCACAGAGAAAGCATGAAGATCTAGGAGATCCGGAAAACCCTAAAATAAACGATGCACGGAAAAAGCTAGAAGATCTAGGAGATCCGAAAAAACGTAAACTAAACGATGCACATAGAAAGCAAGAAGATCTAGGAGATCCGGAAAAACGTAAACTATGCCATGCAAAGAAAAAGCAAGAAGATCTAGGAGATCCGGAAAAACGTAAACTATGCGATGCACAGAGAAAGCAAGAAGATCTAGGAGATCTGGAAAAACGTAAACTATGCGATGCACAGAGAAAGCAAGACGATCTAGGAGATCCGGAAAAAAGTAAACTATGCGATGCACAGGGAAAGCAAGAATATCTAGGAGATCCGGAAAAACGTGAACTATACGATGCACAGAAAAACCAAGAAGATCTAGGAGATCAGGAAAAACGTAAACTATACGATGCACAGAGAAAGCAAGAATATCTACGAGATCTGGAAAAACGTAAACTATACGATGCACAGAGAAAGCGAGAAGATCTAGGAGATCCGGAAAAACGTAAACTATGCGATGCACAGAGAAAGCAAGAAGATCTAGGAGATCCGAAAAAACGTAAACTAAACGATGCACAGAGAAAGCAAGACGATCTAGGAGATCCGGAAAAACGTAAACTATGCGATGCACAGGGAAAGCAAGAAGATCTAGGAGATCCGGAAAAACGTGAACTATACGATGCACAGAAAAACCAAGAAGATCTAGTAGATCCGGAAAAAGGTAAACTATGCGATGCACAGAGAAAGCAAGAAGATCTAGTAGATCCGGAAAAACGTAAACTATACGATTCACAGAGAAAGCAAGAAGATCTAGGAGATCCGGAAAAACTTAAACTACGCGATGCACAGAGAAAGCAAGAAGATCTGGGAGATCCGGAAAAACGTGAACTATACGATGCACAGAAAAACCAAGAAGATCTAGTAGATCCGGAAAAAGGTAAACTATGCTATGCACAGAGAAAGCAAGAAGATCTAGGAGATCCGGAAAAACGTAAACTACGCGATGCACAGAGAAAGCAAGAAGATCTTGTAGATCAGGAAAAACGTAAACTATACGATGCACAGAGAAAGCAAGAATATCTACGAGATCTGGAAAAACGTAAACTATACGATGCACAGAGAAAGCAAGAATATCTACGAGATCTGGAAAAACGTAAACTATACGATGCACAGAGAAAGCGAGAAGATCTAGGAGATCCGGAAAGACGTAAACTATATGATGCACATAGAAAGCAAGACGATCTAGGAGATCCGGAAAAACGTCAACTAAACGATGCACATAGAAAGCAAGACGATCTAGGAGATCCGGAAAAACGTCAACTAAACGATGCACAGAGAAAGCAAGGAGATCCGGAAAAATCAGATAGTCTTATGTCCAATCCTTGGGTGTGGTTAGGAGGAGGATCGATTATTTTCCTATCAGTCGGTTATCTATTGATGCGTTCATTCGGATCGAACCCAGCCGAAGGATATCGTTCTAACCGGGCTGGAGCAGGAAGTAACAACAAATAAATTTCAACTTATTAAATTTGGTAACCCTAAGATTATATGCGGCAGAAAGTTAAGACGTCTATTAAAAATTTGTGCTAATGTTCTGGACGTCCATAAACTGTTCTGAGTTCAATAAGAAAAATATTAATAAGATTACTTTTGTTTTATATGTATTGTGCTTAATTTTTAACGTTCAGCCAATTTTTTATAATTTTGAGTATTTTTATTTATTTATTTGGGGTTGCCAAAGTCATACATGTTTGTCAATCTTTATGGTAAAAGGGAAAATGCATAACTATACAATTGGCAAAAAATTATAATTACTCGAATTGTACCAACATAAAACAAATATCGCTTATAAATGTCAGAAATTATATACACATAAATATATATATTGTTAATAAACCATGGCATAATTATACAAGGTAGTCCCATTTGAGACATTGATAATGGTAACCCTTTTTAATATGGAATTCATATATCAATTTCAAATCAAATTAAAAATAAATTCCATAAAATTGTATGTATGTATGTCGATTGGCATTTCTGTCAATATATTAAACAAAATATATTCTCTAAGCTGAACATTGCTCACAAGACATAACCATTTAGAAGTTTTAGAGGCAGAGATATTTATAAATATAAATTATTTAGCAATTTTTGCCACTGAACACATGATATGTGTACATTTCGAAGAAATATATTTTCATGAAAAAATTGGAAACATGTGACTCCATGAGACTACCTTATATAAATATGCCATGTTAATAAATGTTATTATTTTCAAAAAAAGTATTTTGTTTGTTTTATTAATTCTTCTTATTTCAATGAAAACGGAAAAGAGTACAGTATACATTTCAAACCTTTTGAAAGGGGGCCGCGCTCTATTCTTGTTCTAATATGGAAGACCATTAGGCAGGTGGCTCCATTTTAATAAACAATAATAATTATATTTTTTATGCACTTATCACTGTTAAATTCAAACATGAAACATACTCACTTAGCAGGTAGAGTTAAAAAATATCTCCAGGCGCGTCGGTCCTGTATGCTGCACTTCCAATTTGAAAGTCCATTTTCGGAAATGTTGTCTTCCACTTTATCTTTCCACCCAATTCGTGGCCATCCCCTTTTTCGTTTACCATCAGTTGGCTCGCTTTTGTATGCCTTCTGTGCTGGGACATCCTCATCCATTCTCACAACCTAGCCCACGAAGTCGCTACATTTCAATACGTCTATATCCGAAAATAGATAGTTCAACGCATATTTCATTCGATGGCTATATTTACCGTCAACTCAGATCGGTCCATAAATATTTTGGAGAAATTTTCTCCAAAAGCTGCCTCATCTGCTTGCGCAAGTATCCATGTTTCAGATCCATAGCACGGGTAGTATTCGCGTCTTGTAGAGTGTGAGTTTGATTTGGCGTGAGGTGACCTTGTTTTTGTTGAATCGCTTACTCAGACCATAGTAGCGTATGTTGGCGAAGATTATCCTTCTCCAAATGTCACAACCGATGTCATTGCCGGTAACGAGGTATTTTCTATTAATCACAGTTTTACAGCGGATTCTTAATATTTCACATTTGTATTGTTATAAAATTAAAAAAAAAAACAATAAAACGTAAAAATTTTTAATAAATAAAATATTGAAAAATATTAAAAAAATAAATTTCAATGGGGCAACACACATTACAACTTAAATTACAATATGACAACAGGAATCTATGTTTCAACTACAATTTTCGAAAATTCGAATCCGCATCTCGCATTTTTTGCTTCTCCCTATTCTTTCAGAATAAGACGAGCATGTGAAAGCGAAAAAATTTTTCACAAGCGAAATATTTCCCTAGTGAATATTCGGAATAAGGCTGTTTTTCTCTCTTTCGCACTCTTTTACTGGACTTTTGAGTGAACAGACTACATCCGACTTTCGATTTTCTTCATAAATACTTGGTTTATAACCACATAACCCAATTGGTCGAAAAATTACACAAATGCAGAAGTTTTTTTTTTTCTATGTTCACAACAATTCATATAAAAAATATAACTTTTAGTCGATTTTGTGTTATGCCGTATACAGACGAGCATTGTTCGCTCTCTCATTTGTTGTTCGAACCTTAATTATGAAGTAATAACTTAGTTCCCCATACAAAATTTTCTGAGCGAACACCGATTTTTGTACACTGTTCAATTCGAATCACTCTCTGAATAACCAAGAAATGTATCCCATCCCTAACAATTGAGAGTATTTATCGAAAAAATAAATTTATTTTGACAGCATGAAAATATTTATAAAATTTTCAAACTTTTTCAGTAAAATTGAAAATGAGGAATGAAAAGTAAAAAAAATATATATAGTTTTTGTATAGGTAGAAGGACGCAAATTTTGTAATCTACATAACGCAATATGCATTTCTTTCCCTTTGGTTGTAATTAGCGTACAAAACGAGAAACAGATGTGGGAAACCCAAACAAAAATTCTCCAATTTTTTATCGTCAAAAATAATTCCGCGCGGAATTTCTTTGTTCTCCCTCCAATCGTAAAGAAAATTCCGCGCGGAATTAAAGGGAGAAAGGAGAAAAAGTAGACATCATAAGAAAGTTCGATTTGTGTTTTTCCTCTCAAAATATCACACAAACAAAATCGAAGGGAGATAAAAATTTAAGTATGGTTTTCAAATATAAATCGAAATAGAAATAAATAAACCACAAAATAAAGGCATCGTTTGGTACTAAATTTATCACATTCATTTGAATTAAATAATCCATTCATCCAAAAAAAAAAATCCAAAGAATATGAAAGGCAAAATACTGCACAGAATTTAAAATACAAAACAGGAACTTTTTGGCACTTTTATCCACTTTGGACAAAGGTGAACTTCGACAACAATCACCACCTCGGAGAGGATAGAACTAAATGTTGATTGTGACATACAGACCAAAAAAACGTAACGCGGCACTCAACTTGGTAATCGTATGTATGTTGCGCCAAAACTCCCAACAAGTATTGGAATGCTGGTTTGCTTACCCGGCAGTATATTTTTTTTTATCTGTTGGGACACTACATATCAGATGTTTCAATTATTTTTAAATTGTATGCATTTACAATGATTGTGGCAATTTAAGAGGATTGGAACTATCTCGCAATTGTCTTCTTGACAACATTGTAGAAGTTCTTTGTTGCTCTCTGGAAGTAGCAACATTCTCTAAATATGGTCTATGTATAATAATATTCATTTTTATTTTTGGTTTCAATTCTTTATTCCCTTTTAATTATTTCGTACAACGCAAACACTTTAAATTTGCGCAAACAAATAAGGGTAGACAATGTATGAAAAAGACCCCACAGTTGATTAAAAAGAGATGTCATATTCCAAAATTTTTTCTTCGATATTTTCTACGACTGGAGGATTTTTCTTTCGAGAGAAATGCTTTCCATAGGAATAGAATTTCTCCCACATTTTGGTGATTGGACTGTATATGTGACATTTGTATTTAGCAAATTTATAAAATTGATTGAAAACAACAATACTTACAGAAAACATGATTTAAAAGTAAATTGATATGGGTTCATACTATAGCCAGGAAAAGAATATTATTTTTATACCCTCCACCATTGTATGGAGGGTATATTAATTTTGTCATTCCGTTTGTAACTCATCGAAATATCCATTTCCGACCCTATAAAGTATATATATTCTTGATCAGGGTAAAATTCTAAGACGATCTAGCCATGTCCGTCCGTCCGTCTGTTGTAAGAACGCTATCTTCTGAAAGAATTGAGATAGGGAGCTGAAATTTTGCATAGAGTCGTCTTTTGCCTGCAGGCAGGTCAAGTTCGATGATGGGATATATCGGTCCACGTTTAGGCATAGCTCCCATATAACAGTAACCTCCAATTTTCGGTATTTTGGGGTTCTTGAGTACGTTTTTCAACCGAATACGCTGAAATTTGGTATATTGAGTTCTTATTAGGTACTAAATGTCTCCACAAGAAATTATAAATATAGGTCAACTTTTTCTGATAGCCCCCATATAACGGTACATCCTAATTTTCAGTATTTTAGGGGTTTTGATCGTATTTTTCCACCGAATTGGCTGTAATTAAGTATTTTGAGTTCTTAATAGGTACCAAATCTCTCCACAAAAATTTATAAATATAGGTAAATTGTTTCGGATAGCCCCCATATAAGGGTACCCCCCAATTTTCGGTATTTTAGGGTTCTTGAGCGCGGTTTTCAACCGAATTCGCTGAAATTTGGTACATGGGGTTCTTATTGGGCACCAAATTTTACCACTAAAAATTATAAAATTATAGGTCCACTTTTTCTGTTAGCCCCCATATAAGGGTACCTCCCAATTTCCAGTTATTGAGGTGTTTTGACCGGATTTTTTCACCGAATTGACTGTATTATTGGGTAGCAAATCTCTCCACAGTAAATTATAAATATAGGTCAATTCTTTTTCGGATAGCCCCCATATAAGGGTACCCCCAATTTTCGATAATTTGAGGTTTTTGAGTGCGTTTTTTAACCGAATTCGCTGAAATTTGGTATTTTGTGGTCGTATATGGTAACAAATCTCCCCACCAAAAATTGTTAATATTCACCCCTCTTTAGGGGTAGTCCCCATATAGCACCCCTTTTTATATTAAAATAGTTATATGATTTGTTCCGCGTTTTGTGTTTGGTTCTAAGAGTCTGTCGTAATCATTTAACCTGCGGAGGATATTGAGATAAAGCTAGAACGTAAGGTTCGATAATGAACTATACATGAACAATAACCCGCATTTAGGCCTAGCCCCTGTGTGGTAGGTATCAGAAGGAGTGGACCGATAGTCCACATCTTCGAACCTGAACTAAGTTTGGAAGAAATAACAAGATAGGCACAGATTGGATGAAATCAAAATTTTCTGGAACATGGTTCACGTTATGGTTTACATAATAGCGTTGTAGAAATGTCGGTATAGGTCCACTTTTTGGTATTTTCCCTACATTTTCATTTCAAGTACCTGTCAGTATA